AATGTAACGATTAATGGTCATGATAATAGTAATAATGATAATACTACTACTACTATTACTTATGATGATAATGAGAATGATAAGGGTGATGATTATGACATGATTATAATAATCATGATAATTTTAATGATATGAATTATAGTATAATAATGACGATAAAGCTAATGATGATAATAATTATAATGATCACGACAGTAATGATAATATCTATAAAAATAACGACAATGACGAAGAACTGAGTCACGTATCCCCCTAAATGACCTTTTTTCTCTCCTTGTGACTCGCAGGATCCCTCCCTCCCGCCCTTCCTGACGGCGACCTTCTTCGTGCAGTTCCTCTGTTCCCTCGTCCTGTTCCTCGCCAACTGCTTCAGCGACGGCCTCTCACTCACGCAGAAGTTCAACGCCACTGAAGTGAGTTTTTGACTGAAGGGAAAAGGGTTATTTAGTTGTTTATTTTGATTTCCTGTCAGCTGGTGGGTCGTTTTTCACCTGTAGCTCGTGTTAATGGGGAGGGGGAACGGTCAACAGAACAGCGGCATCGTCTGGTTCTTATGGCTGTTCACGCCACTGTGCCGCCTCCCTCAACTTTATCTTTGGGAGATGACATGAAATTTTTGTGCTTTTCTGTGGTGATATTTTCGGAGCTGTCAGTGGTGTATAGTTAGATGAAAAATATGTTTGGGAAATGAAAGAGAGATGCATTTTGGTTATTGAATAAAGGGCGTTCTGATAATAACTGTTACTTCTTACATTATAAAGCCTGTTTATGTTTTTAGCTGAATTGCTGTGATAATGTGAAGCTGGGTTGGTGATATGTACGTTTGTGTTTAGAAACGCTTGTGTAGGAAATGAATAACAAATAGATCTTAGTTCACGAAGAGAGCTGCTTTGGCCTTACTTAAGGGGAAGGAATTTGAAGATAGGGTAAAGAGGGGTACGAGAGATAGGCTTTGATAGATGATGGGGGAATGAAATTGCAGTTGCTTGTTCTCAAAACGCTGGGAAGGAATCATATATACGTATTGGTTAAGGGCGGTAGAGAGTTATCCGCGCTTGATGCGTGTTCTCGAAAAGTGTTTTGTATTCGATTTAGTGGAAGAAATTATGAAGATAGTTCAGTGGCAGGAAATATGGAGATAATTAGCGATGCGTTTAGTTTAGCGCCATTTATTTCGATGGTTAGATTAAGGCCGACTGTTCGCGAAGGGTTCACGTTGGAGAGAATTCACCGACCAGCCGCGATGCCGTTTCCCTTCAGAAACCGACGCCGCGGCTGCAGGCTTCCTTCCTGAGCCGCATCTTGTTCTTCTGGGGCGCGTCCATCGTGTGGCTGGGCTGGCGGCGCCCGCTCACGTCCGAGGACATCTGGGACGTCGAGCCGCAGAGCACGACGGCCTTCCTCGCCGCCCAGTGGGACGCCGCCATCGGAAGGTAGGGGCGGGGAAGGGGGAGGGGGAGGGGACTGGGACGGGGGGGGGGGGGAGTAAAGGGTTAGAGATGGAGATCTTGCTGGTAATGATGGCTCGGGGTGGGCGTGAAGGGTGAAAGGAAATTGGAAGATATACACCCAACCCACCTACACCCCACCCACTCACACACACACATCCACACCCATACCTACACACACCCACCCCACCTACCATCCCCACACACACCACACACTACACCCCCCCACCCCTACCTACGATTCCCACACACACACCCACACGCCCACACACCCACCCACCCACACCAAACCCATCCAACCAAACTCAACATCCAAATACACACCTTACCCCCCCACCACCCCCCACCCACCCCTCACCTCTAACCCTCCCTCCCTCCCTTCCACAACCCGCCCACGCAGAGAGAGGGGGACGGCGCCCACGGGAGCCAAAGAGCCAAGCAAACTCCGGCCGGCGATGGTGCCTGTGAGCGGGAGGCAGAAGTCCGTCCTGCGCTGCCTCTTCAGGATGACCTGCTGGCCCTTCCTCGGCTGCGGCGTCCTCTGCTTCCTGGGCGAAGGGTCGCGCTTCCTGACCCCGCAGATCCTCAGGTCAGTGGGAGCGGGGGGGGAGGGGGTAATAAAAAATGATGATGATTATTACGATCATGATAATACTGATAATGATAATTATACTGATGATAAGATTATGATGATAATTATAATGATTATAATGATAACATAATGAATAATGATAACATAATGATAATGATGATGATAATGATAAAGATAATGATGATAATGATAATTACGATGATCATTATTATCATTATTTTTTATATTTGTTGTTGTTGGTGTTATTGGTATTATCATATTATTTTAATTATCATTATTATTAGTAGAATCATTATTATGATAATAATAATAATAATAATAATAATAATAATAATAATAATAATGATAATAAGGATAATTATGATTATCAATGATAAGTCATGTCATCATTATAATCATTATTATTATTATTACTATTATTATTATTATTGTTAACACTATCATTACCCTGTTTATTCGTTTGCTTCTCTGCCTCGTCTCTCCACTTCTTCATTCGTAACGATTTGCTCTCTCTCATTTATCCATTATTTTTCATCTCCTATTTTGGGCCAATTTCTGCTTCTTCCCGATCGTCAGCTTCTTGACAGACATTGGCTTTATGGCTTGTTATTGCCTCATTGTATCTCTTATTCATAGCCAATTATTCAAAATTACCTATGTGCCTATTTTTTCTTTTGCCTGATTATCAGACTTATTCTTTCTATCGCTTCTTTATTCTGTGTCTTCGTTCATCAATTATGACGTGTCCCATTTTTATCATTTCTCTCTCAGTCTTGTCTTTACTTGTACTTTAGTCTTTCTATTTGAGCAATTATTCCGTTTCCCAATTAACAATTTCATCTTTCCTTTGCTCTTCCTCCTATTTCACTATTCATTCTACATCCTATTATTCTATAACTCATTTACCTCTCCCCCCGCTTCAACCATAGCATTTCTTATTAAACCAATTTTATCATTTTCAACCCCCCAGCCTTAACCGTAGTACTACTATTATACCAAGTGTTTCTATAACCAATTTTCTCCCCCAACAGCCTCAACCATAATATCTTGTATTAAATCAGTTATTCGTAACCTAAAAAAAAATATTACCTCCTAGTAAACCAATTATTTTATAACCAATTATCTCCCCCCCTCCCAGCCACAGCCAACGTATTTCCTATTAAACCAATTATTCTATAACCACAATATTCCTATTTTATTCTATAACCAACCCCCCCCCAGCCATAGCCCACGTATTTCCTATTAAACCAATGACTCAGCAGCTACTTCTCCCATTTTCTACGGAAGAGGCTATATCAGTAGCAACTCGAGGTGTCATGGCATCTGATTCTATTTTTGGAAAAAAAAGTATATGGGGTTTATTTTAATGACGTCACAAAGGTTACGGATGCTTTGTGAATAAGGTCGATCATTTTGGTCTTTTTGGTCTTTTCAATTTTCCAAAAAAAAAAAAAAAAAAAGGATGGAAAATAATGCTTTTAACGGTTATATTTTCACCGAACAATCATCAAAATAGCCCTGTGGGACGCCATGACACCTCCTCGTGTTGCTGCTGACCTGGCCTTCCCCCATTTTCTGCCCTCAGTCTGATCATCAACTTCATGACGACCCCGGAACAGCCTGCGTGGTATGGCTACCTGTTCTCCGTTCTTCTGCTGGTGTCGTGTTCTCTCGTCACGGTGATAAAGAACCGCTATTTCTACGAGGTGTTCGCGATGTCCGTCAGAGTCAGGTCGGCCATCATGACGGCGGTCTATCGAAAGGTGTGTCTATTTTTTTTTGTTTTTTTGTTTTTGTATTTCATTTATCAACTTTTTTTTTTTTATTTCATTTATCTACTTTTTTGTTTTTTATTCATTTAATTTTTATTTCATTTATTTTTTATTTCATTTATCTATTTTTTTTTTTTATTTTCTTTTTTTCTTTTTTTTTTGTTCTGTTATTGTAGATTTTGGGTTTTTAGTCCTGGTGAATTGTTTTTGTTTTATCTTCTGTTCAGTTCTGGATGTATTTTTTGTGTGCGTTTTTCTGTAATTTCATTTATTTATTTATAAGTAGATAAATATCATACTATAAAAGCATTCTCTGTTTATTGTTATAATTATTATTATCATTATTATTACTATTATTATTATTACTATTTTTTGCGGGGGGGGGGGGGGGGCTCAGTTATATGGTTTTGCTTTTTTATAAGATATTCAGTGTGTTCGGCTCTCATAGTGGATTATTATATTGTTATTCACTCATTATATCTTATTCACAATCAATTTCGAATGTTTTTTATTTAGATCTATATTTTTTTTTATGTTTTCCTCTGTCCACGTTTTTTTCATGCTTCTCCGCAAGGTTTACAGGCTGGGAACGGAAGAGTCTGTCCCGAGTTTTGTTCTACAGTTCGTTCATTTTACCGGCTTGAGTGCTTTCCTTATCACGAAGTCTTAAACCTCGTCATAACCACTTTTTTATTGAATTTACCGATAAAGATTATAGGATTATGAGGTTGTGATATGTACATTATGCTGACATCGAGGCAAAGACAAAATAACAAAGGTAATGAGTGTGTTGTGTGCGCCTTTTACTGGCTTCTTCACCTGTCCAATAGGCGACCATCCAGACAATAGTTTGAAGGACGGTAGTTTATGCAAATGACCTCGTAGCCTGACCGTCGCTTTTCGTTGAGGTCGGAAGCTTTGCAATGTTTTAACTGTTGAGGTTAAGCTAATATAATTCGAGTTCATTGATGAAAGTTAAGAAATATTGCGAAATTACTGAGGTGCTGAATATACGTACGTGAAAAAAATGGATATAAATAGACTTTAGAATAATAAAAGCAATATATATATATATATATTATATATATGTTAAAGAAGGATTACATAATAAAATGATAAAATAACATACTGAATGGATACCATAAACAAATTCCGAAAGGATGCCAAATATCGCATCCGAATAACATT